TCCAACCACTCGGGAGACGGAAATAGCGGCGATAGCGGCAGAGGGAGCCGAGGAAATGGATCTCCGGCCGAACCCACCATAATGCCGACCACCCCGCGGCAGCAGATACACTCGGTGATCATGCACCTGGAGGAGGGACACAGGCAAGTCTTTTATGGTGTTTGTGTATGGTGTTATTCGTGTGGGAGAGAAAGGTTCTGTGGTCCAGTACTTTGAAAGGACTGATACTGATGACTGTTTATGCTGATGTTTAAGCTTGATTATTGCTTATAAGTAAGATAATGGTGTCAGACCCAATAATTTAGGATAGTTAAGGTGATTCAGAATATGCTTTTGAATATCAGATACAAAAAAAAACAAGTAGGTGACTTTTAAATTCTTTAAAATCATGTTAATTGAGATCTTGATTTTAGATAAAGTGCACAGGGAAAGGTGATAGGTTGTTTCATGTTTCAAAAATGTTTCAGGCAACTGGAAGAGGACGCGAATGGTAACATGCAGAAGAACGTAGAGGAGCACACTCAGCAGTTGCAAACGCAGATCAACAGACTCAAAGCAATCCTGCAGGTGATTCAGAATTATGATCTTGTCCTTTGTTCTTGAAAAATATCTTGCATTTAGAATGATTAAATTGCTAGTGACCCAAATTGGAAGTCAGAAATTAGATGTTTCATGCTAAGTACTGAAAAATGCATATTTTTTTTCCAGAGCTATACTTCAACCAAAGCAGCGCCACAGATCAAGCCTGGAGGAGCCAGGGCAAGTGTGAGGGGCCTCCCTCGACTAGAGAGCACACCCATAGTAGGGGAGCGAGGCCTGCTCCTCAACCTGTCTCCTATTGCCAAGCAACCCAGTGCTGACGACACAGCCGTGTTAGACAACAAGGAGAACCATCTGGTGAGTTTTTATTCATCTCTCCCTTCTCCTGTCTCTCAGTTTCCCTCCTGGTTCCTCATCATTCCCCTCCTTCCTTTTCCCTTCCCTTAGTTTGTTGTTTCTCAAAATAATCTTTTCCTTATAATCACTTTCTTTTACCATTCTTTTACCAGGTGGAAAATCCTGATGGAACTCCTGTCAAAGAGAGCAGAAGTATACAGCCTATGAGGATGCCTTTCACTCCAAGGCTAAATGGAGTCCCTCAGCTTGGCACTCCGAATGGCAACACCCAAGAAGCTCAAGGTCTGTACATTTCTTTCCTAATCTCGCATATTTTCACTTACGCACAGAGACAAGCACACGCATCCACGTACTCACATACACACTTATACTCATTCCTCAACTTGTACACATACACCAACCCACTGAGATGCACATACAGTCACACGTATACACACACCATCTAGAGAAATTTTGGAAGATCAACCTGTTTTTTCCATTACCTTTTTCTTTGTAATGCACAGTGTACTTGTCTATAATTGGTTACTTGGTATAAGTTTAAGCAAGAGCTGTCTTAGTGGCTTATGCTAGGGCCATCCTGGGAGACCGCCCTTGAATATACAGCATTTATATACTCCTGTATGATTCCTTTGCAGACATTGCTGCATCGAGATCAGTCCCTCCACCAACGCGACTTCCAAGCTTCACAGAGGTCAATTTCAGTGACCTGACTTCATTGACCTCTGCCCCCTCATCCGTGGCCACATCACCGAGGGTCGAGGAAAGAGCAGCCAATGGGGTCTTTGGAGATGATGTAGCGCCTGACGTCAGAGAAGAGCTGGAGAACATATTGCACCAGTTGGATCAGATCTTCCCACTCTGTAAATCGGAGAGTAAGTAGTATTCACTCGTCTTTGAATGTTTATCCTTGCATGTTTTCACCAGATTTTGCTTTGGAGTCTTTTGGAAATGAATAGAAAAGTATCCATTAGCTATATGGATTTCCTTCAAGATAAATATAATACATTGTGGCACATTATGATTTTGGTTTATATATTTCACTAACTTCTCCCCAGGCACAAAAGCAGCTGAACCAGATAGCGCCGGTGTGGTAGAAGCTGCGTGCGAGCTTGGTGATGTTTTGGCTGAGTATGTGAACACTGTCCCAAGCTCCACTGCATGTGTGTAGAAAGAAACGGGTGAAATAGCATGCGACGAGCAGGTGGGAAGCTGTTTACTATTTTGTCAAGTAGATGCCCACAGAATCGGTATTGCACAGATTTTTTTTTTATGAAAGCCTTACAGTTTTGTAATGTAATTATTATATGGCAGAAGCAATCACATTGGTCTCATGGAAACAATATATAAACATATGGAAGAAGAAAAAACAGTGTTAGACTGATGATACTTACGAGCCTTGGATAATACCAGTGATATTACGTAATTGTAAAACAGTGCGAGTGATTTTCAGAATTTGAATTGTTTTTGACTTATGCAATCTGTGATTACTTGTTTGTTAACCTATTTATATATCAAACCAAATATTGAGATGTTTAAGAATTTAGTCTTCCTCTTTTGAATTACAATAAATTTGTATATTATCTTTATCTGTTTCATTCACTGAAAGTCTGTGTACTGTGCATATATTTAGGTTATTTTTCCATATGTTGAAATGCGTGTTGGGGGGAAATGGGGTGTTTTGTATATACTTGCATGCCCCTTTTTTTTATGTATTTGCTTGTTCATATTCATACTTATGAATGCTGTTATCTGAAGTAAGGAAGGTCAGTAATTTTTTTTTTTTTTTTTTTTTTTTTTTTTTTTCCTCTGATTTTTGGGTTTAAAGCAACCTGATAGGTACTCATTATATTAATTACAATAGTAATTATATGTATATGTAATTTCCTATCAAAATTACAGTGTTGTTTGTCTGTATACGTCTGTGTATTACACTTCGTTGGAAATGATATTTGATGAATGATTGTAGAAAATGCTAAGATTAAAAACAGTATTAATGAAGCTATTCAGAAATATGAATGATTTCTTTCCACCTTCTGTCAAGTAGTTTTGTTTCCTGTCTTCTTTCTCTCTATTTTGTCTACTTCTATGATTTGATACAGTTTGACTTAAGTGTATTCTTTTTTCTGTCAAGCTCTTTTGTCTCTCTCTCTCTTTCTCTCTCTCTCTCTCTCTCTCCCTCTCTCTCTCTCTCTCTCTCTCTCTCTCTCTCTCTCTCTCTCTCTCTCTCTCTCTCTCTCTCTCTCCCTCTCTCTCTCTCTCTCTCTCTCTCTCTCTCTCTCTCTCTCTCTCTCTCTCTCTCTCTCTCTCTCTCTCTCCCTCTCTCTCTCTCTCTCTCCCTCTCTCTCTCTCTCTCTCTCTCTCTCTCTCTCTCTCTCTCTCTCTCTCTCTCTCTCTCTCTCTCTCTCCCTCTCTCTCTCTCTCTCTCCCTCTCTCTCTCTCTCTCTCTTTCTCTTTCTTTCTTTTTCTTTTTCATTCTGCTTAATTTTCTTCATCTTCTTTTCCTTTAAGTATTGCTATTTGGTGCATGTCTCAGTTTGGATTTGTTAAATTATAACTTTTTGTGTGTTATTTAGTGCATGTTTTGTTTCGAATTTGAAAAAACAATATCTATATATTTATCTAGAAAAAAAATGTATTATGGAAATATGTGCAATGATAGACAATTCACCAATGACACTTTAATCTTCCATGACAAAGTGTGAGAAATAAATACTCTGAATTCAGAAGCAATTTTAGTGATATAACAAGTGCCGATGGTAATGCAACCCCTTTGTGTTAAAATAGTTGTTTGACGTTGGTATTGCAGTCTGAGATTTCTTTCTTTCTTCTTTTTTTGCTTTCCTTCTTTCTTTCTTTCTTTCTTTCTTTCTTTCTTTCTTTCTTTCTTTCTTTCTTTCTTTTTTTTTTTTTTTTTTTTTTTTTTTTTTTTTTTTTTTTTTTTTTTTTTGTCTGCCTGAATAGTAACATTGTGCAAACGGTTCATTGGATGTTGCCGAAGGATGCTGGGTGTCAAATTCCGAATCTGTAGCCAGCCGAGGGTGATGGATCAAAGGCAAGATAAGCCAATGTATCTTTTTCCGAGCCAAAGAAGGGTTGTCGTAGAAACGTGGGGTACACTTTCTCTCTTTAAGTTTGTAAATTGTTAGTCATAATTTAGGGTTAATTGTGATTATATAAACAATCTATTTCATTTTCTCTTCTCCTCCTCCGTCTTCTGTTTAGTCTTTGTCTTTGTCTTCCTCCTCCTCTTTATTTATTAGTCTTTTTATTTTGAACATTCATAGAAATTGCAGTTAGATTGTATCTGTAATTTGCAAACTCCAATGCCAACCTACAGTAAACTATGAAATATTTAACAGTGCATGTAAGCTGCATGATCTTTATTTGATGCATGATCAAAACTTGATTCAGAAGCATGATTTTAAACACAAAATCTTGATGTAATGCCACTTACTTTGCTTGGAATGTACGTGTACCATTCTCGAATACATTATGTTATAGCATGTTAAAAGTATATATTTGCATAAAGTTGTATTCCTCGCTTATTCATTTGTGCATGGATTGATAAAGGATATAAAAATGGCATATTATATTAGTTTTCCCTTATAAAGGTGGTTTGTTGTTATATTTTTTATGGTAGTTGGACTTCCAAGTATTCTGTTGTGAACAAATGTGTGTAATGTATAAATAATCTGACCAGGCATGTTGGAATTCAGAATAGATTTGGCACACTATATTACTATTATTATTGAAAATGTTAATACGAAGGGAGAAGATAAGAAGAGAGTGCTTTCCCATGATTTGGACTGACTGATACTTAAAAAGATGCATATATAATGTCCATCAGTTTGTGATCTTATCGCTGATTTTCTCCCTGATGTCTTCCATGACTATAATTCTTTTGTGTAAGGAATTGTTTGTACTTCAATACAAATTTGATTGACTAGTATATCGTGAGAATAGATTGGAGTTATATGCAGTGATGTGAGACATCTTGTGCTGTGAATAACACAGATTGGCTTAATATGTAGTGTGTATATAAAATGCCAGTGTTTATTTTTTTCATATGCTGTAGTTTTCTGATTTTCTATTTTTGTGTACGTGTTTTCATATCTTGTAGGCAAAAGAGAACTGTATTTCCTGTCAGTTTAAAGTTTGTAGGAGAAGACGGTTCAAGGCAATATTACACTGTATTTTAGCACAAAGTTGAGCACAAATTGTATAGTTTTGATAACTATCTGGAATGTTTTGTGTAGTGGGATGAATTAGAAAATACTGTGAATTGGGTCAAAATAAGATGTTTGTAAATACAAATGTACATTTTCTTATATGAAACTCTATATTTTTTGTAAGGAAGCTACATATCAGTAGCTTTGATACTGTGTTAGTTGAAAATGTGTAATGTATTTTCATTTTTCTATTGTATAGTGACGTTCAATTTCACCAAAAATAAACACATTCCTAAATTTATATATATATGTATATTTCTTTCCCCCTTTTTGGCCAAAGACCTCATATAGTTTATTTTACTTCCTGTTCAGCCTCATTGTCATAATACGTTTTTTCAGATTATTGTCTATATCCTATCTTTCAAGTCTACAATACAAATAGTGGAAAGTTGGCATAGGATGTGTCATGGATGGTGCATATATCCATGACCTGCTCAGATTGTAAAAAGACAGGGTGCTGGGTGACATGAGTTTATATTTATGAATGTCTTTGCTCGTTTAATATTGCAAAAAAAAATCAACCTCTTTCATAGCTGAATCATGTCAGGAAACAGATATCACACACGAAAAAGAATGATGTAAGACAAATGATGATGCATTATAGTAAAATAAGTTTTTTTTATTTCATATCAAAACCAAAGCTACTTAAATAATAATAATAATAATAATAAAGTAAAGGAATAGATAATCATATCATTCGCATTTCCTCCTTGTCTTATTTTGAGGGAGAACCTTCCGACACAGGAACCTGGAGGCATGACAGCAGAGGAGGTAGAAAGCAATGACTAACAAGTGAACCAGCAAGATTATGTCAATCATGAAGTATTCCATCCAAGAGAGTTCGGCCGCAGGGGACTTGAGACGGGGAGCTCCCTGGTGTCGGATCACGTACTCAGTCCAGAACACGGCACGTTCTAGTGGGGTCTCCGGTTGGTCCTTCAGTGCTGAGGATACTGCCTGAATGTTGGCCTTGTATCTGTGGAGGTTGAGGGGAAAAGGAAGGGAGTTGGGTGAGCTTAGTGTTTCGGTCTTGCTTTCTCTTTTTTGTCAGACAACATGGTCGCTCTTGCTTGCTCTTTCTTTCTTTCTTTCTCCCTCTCATTCTCTCTCTCTTTCTCTCTCTCTCTCTCTCTCTCTCTCTCTCTCTCTCTCTCTCTCTCTCTCTCTCTCTCTCTCTCTCTCTCTCTCTCTCTCTCTCTCTCTCTCTCTCTCTCTCTCTCTCTCTCTCTCTCTCTCTCTCTCACCCTATAGCCAGTCCCACACCCTCTCTCTAACCTATCTGCATTAACAAGTTGGCTGACAGCTCATTCTACCCACTATCTTTGAGTTTCCCATTCCCCTCTATGTTACGCTACGGCACTTTCCCATTCTCTATCACCCTCTCTTCATCTCACACATTCTTCTGCCATATCTCTTTGCCTATCCCTTTGTTCCTCTCTACCCCCAACCTCTCCCCTCTGTTCTTCCTTAGCCCATCACTTTCCCCTCTACGTCCAGTTTTTTTTTCATAATTGGGCCTCTCCTTGTCTCGTCTTCCTTTCCCCACCCCTCATCTTCTCGTCTCACGCTTCACACGACCTATTTCTTATCTCTTCCCTCTCCCCCGTTCCTCCTCCTCTGTCCCATCCTCTCACCAGTCCACCTTGTCTCTCTCCCTTCCTCTCCTCTGTCCCACTTTACTGCATACCTCCCCCATTCCCTCTTTCACCACCTAGTTCCTCCTCCATTCCCTCCCACTTTCCCCTAGTCCCTTCCTCATTCAATCTCCCTCTCCCCCATTCCATCCCCTTTCCCCTTTGTCCCTCCCCCTACCCCATTCCCTCCCTCTTTTTCCTCTTCTCCCCCATTCCCTCCCCCTCCCTCTTTCCCTCCCTCTTTTTCCTCTCCTCCCCATTCTTTCCCTCTTTTTCCTCTCCTTCCCCATTCCCTCCCCTTCCCCTCCCCCATTCCCTCCCTCTTTTTCCTCTCCTCCCCCATTTCCTCCCTCCCCTTCCCCCATTCTCTCCCTCTTTTTCCTCTCCTCCCCCATTTCCTCCCTCCTTCTTCCTCTCTTCCCCCATTCCCTCTCCCTCCCCCACCCCCCCTTCACTGACCTCCCATCAGCCACCAGCCTCCCCACGGCGTCGACGATCAGCTGGACGGACAGGTCGCCCCAGCCCAGCATGAGCCCGACGCCGCCTTCCTGAGCCACGTGGGCGTTCCTCGGCTGGTCGGCGAAGATCGGGAGCAGCAGCATGGGCGTGGCGTGGTACATGGCCTCCTGGGTGCTCAGCATTCCCCCGTGGGTGATGAAGACCTTGACGTTTGGGTGTGCTGGGGGGGTAATGGTGATAGCAATAACGAAAGCAGTAAGAACAATTTATTAGTCATTATTATTATTACTATTACTATTCTTTTTATTATTATTACTATTCTTTATTATTATTTTAATAAATATTATTATTAATATAATCATATACTATTACTATTTACTATTTTTCTTATTACTATTATTATTATCACAATGGTGACTAAGATGACCGAGTAAAGCGGCGCGCGGGCGGAGAGCGGAGAGCACCCACCCAAGATATCCTGCTGGGGAAGCCACCCTCGGATGAGCACGTTCTCTGAGACGCCCTCCAGCTCGCCCTCGTACTTCCACACCACCCTCTGAGGCAGCCTCCTGAAGGCCCGCACGAACAGGTCCCGCCACCGCTCGGGCATGGTGTTCCCGAGGGCGACGGTGCCCAGGCTGAAGTACACGACCCCGGCTGCCCCCGCGCTCTCGATCCACTCCGTCAGGTCCTGTGGGGGGGGGGGGGTTAAGGCGATGGTGGGAGGACTCTTTCCTTTCGTTATTTTTACAATTTAGAGTGTACATGTTTTCGTGGCATTGGCGAAGGACAGGTCTAGATCATGAGCACAGCTGAATTAGCATAATGAATTCTGATAGTAATGTTCAAGAAAAGAAAATACGAATGTTAGCTAATTCGAGTCTTTTCAAGAGACGATTGCAATTGCACGCAGCCACTGGCCCTTCCTCGCAATCCACTCACCTGCGGCAAGGGGGACCCCGGGCGGCAATGCATGGTGCCGATCTCCACCTGCGAGGGCAAGAGGGGCAGGACGCGGCCCATCGCGAAGTGGGAGTTGTACAGTGCCAGGCTCAGGTTCCTCTCGAGCTCTGCCAGCGGCGGCACCTCGGGGAAGATGGCCGTGATCTGGGGGGCGAGAGGGGGCGTGGTCAGTCCGCTGCGGCAATGGCTGTGTTTATATTGTTTTGCAAAAGCTTTCGGGTGTTTTGATTTCGTGTTGCTTAGGTTTTGGATGGTTTTATTCCAAATGTCTGTAACACACACACACACACAGGCAGAGACAGATGTTGATGCTTACACTCCAAATACTCCCCCAAACACCACGACACTCACACACCGCACTGCACCAAAACCTCAACAACAACACAAAATAACAAAAAACACCACCACCCACCCACCTCTCGCTGAATACTCGGCAATATCACATAATAACGTATAAATCCACTGCAGAGATGAACCGCCAAGTTGAGCACGCGATGGAAGAAACTCAAGGGCTGAGGGAACTCCACGGGGATAGCAGTCACGTAGGCAGGATTGAGGACGTTGCCGAGGAGAGAGCTCTGCGTGTGATCCATCCCCGAGGCCGAGACGGATATGTAGGGGAGGCCCTGCGCGAAGGGGTAGGCCATCTGGAAGAAGGCGAGGGAGGGAATGGGGTGTGGGTTGTCGTTTGTTAGGGCTCGCGGTTATGATTGTTGTTGTTGTGAATATTTTTGTTGATGTGATCATTAGTATTGTTATCTTTACTATTATTATTATCATTATTATTTGCAGAGGGAATTGATTCTTTGATTTTGAATTTTTAAGAGATTTTTTGAGACTAATTTTGCGAAAAATGATCAAAACAGACAAAGAAAAAGAGAGAGATAAAGAGAGGGGGAGAGAAAGAGAAAGGGAAAGAGAGAGAGAGAGAGAGAGAGAGAGAGAGAGAGAGAGAGAGAGAGAGAGAGAGAGAGAGAGAGAGAGAGAGAGAGAGAGAGAGAGAGGGGGGGGGGAGAAAGAATGAGAAAGAGAAAGAAAGAATGAGAAAGAGAAAGAAAGAATGAGAAAGAGAAAGAAAGAATGAGAAAGAGAAAGAAAGAATGAGAAAGAGAAAGAAAGAATGAAGAAGAGGAAGAAAGAATGAGAAAGAGAAAGAGAGAGACAAAGAGCACCCACCTGATTATAAAAATTATCAATGAAAACCACATCGAACTGCGTCCTCCTGAGGTACAAATCCCACACAGCAGGATTTCGATACAGGTCCCGAGTCATCGCTGGAAGACCCTCCCGCAGAAGGCGAAATATCTCCCAGGGGCGCTCGCGGGAGGAAAACAGGCGGAATTTCTCCTCCTTGAAGTGGTCGAGGCCGTGGTAGATCTCGGTGACGTTCGGGTAAGGCGTGGTCGGTTCGTGGTTCACCAGGAGTTCGACCTGAGGAGGAGATGGCGAGAGTTAGCGTCGTTTGGGGTCGTTAGGGGTCGTTAGGGGTCGGTCTTGTCGCTAGGTCTTCGTGTGTCTCTGGGTCGGGGGTGTCTGTTTGTCTGTTTGTCTCTCTGTCTCACTCGCTATTGTTGTTGTTGTTATTATTATTGTCATTATTATTATTATTATTATTATCATTACTATCAGCATTAGCATTATTAGCATTGTCAGCATTAACATTAACATTGACATTATTATATATTATCATTATTACTATAATTACTATCATTATTATTATAATTATCATTATTATTATTATTATTATTATTATTATTATTATTATTATTATCATTATCATTATCATTATCATTATCATTATCATTATCATCATTATTATTATTAGCATTAGCATTATTATATATTATCACTATTACTATAATTATTATTATTGTTATCATTATTATTATTACTATTAATATTATTGTCATTATCATTATCATTATTGTTGTTACTCCTGTTATCATTATTATTATACTTCTATTTTCGCATCTAGCACTTCTCCTTCTTCTTCTTCATTATCCTCCTCATCATCAACATTTTCTTCTTTTCCTTTTTATAGTTTTTATCATCATTATTATGATTCACCTCCTCGCTTATTAAACAAAAACAACAACAGTAAAATAAATAAGAAATAATTAGGTATTTTTTGTATCATCGCTTTAAAAAATAAATACACAATTTAAATATATTTATAGTTCTTTTCTTTTTTTTCTTTTTTTAACATCACTCAAAGCAAGATCATTTTTTTCCCATTACATAGAATAGAAAAAAATGCTCCATTACAAGAATAAAACTATTTTCCTCATTACTTAGAAGAAGACCAAAAACGTTTTCCCCTTTACTTAGAAGAATAGCAAAAAAATTTTTTTTTACCATTACTTAGAAGAATAACAAAAAAACTTTCTACCATTGCTTAGAAGAAGAAGAAAAATATGCTTCATTTCCATAACTTTGAAACAAAAAGAAGAAAAACCATCACTTAGAAGAAAAAAATATAAAAACAACAACAATAAGAATAACATTATGTATTTACGAAATAACATCCGGTTTTTAATCAAATTTAGGCCTAATATTTCCAATGAGGCCAACCCTTACCGGATGAATGTAAAACAAAGAAAAAAGAAAATAAAAAAAAGTGTTTTGACTTCGGCAGGACATCCGATGTGCGTTGGAATTTACATAAATTATCTCTTTTATTTCGTTTCTGAGATGATTTATTTTATTTCATTATGTTACTTTTCTTGATATTTTTTGTTTTCTGATTCCTTTTTTCTTGTATTACTTTTTTTCATTGCTCTTTTTTTCATTGCTCTTTTTTTCTATTTTCTTTATATTTCTCTTACTAATCTTTTCGTATATTACTTTTTTTCAAGTTGATGTTAATTTGTTTCTTTAAGATGTTTAACATATATATATATATATATATATATATATATATATATATATATATATATATATATATATATATATATATATATATATATATATATATATATAGTATATATATATATATAGTATATATATATATATATATATATATATATATATATATATATATATATATATATATATATATATATATATATATATATACATATATATATTTCTTTTTTCTTTTTTTGCGTGGTTGTTTCTAAATAATAATAATAATAATAATAATAATAATAATAATAATAATAATAATGATAATAATAATAATCACAACAATAATAATAAGAACAACATCAATAATAATAAATCAGACAAACTATCACATTTAATAAAAAAAAAAAGACCTATGACCTGACCTTATGACCTCGGTCCGCCAGTGCCCTCGCCAGGGTCAAGAAGATGGTCCTGTGGCTGCGGGAGGACAAGGGCAGCAGCATCAGGATCTTGTAGGACGCCCTCGGAGGGTCAGAGGTCAAGGGCAGCACGCGGGAGGCCGAGCAGGAGGTCGTCGTTATAGTCATCGTCATCGCCAGCAGAGTCGGGAGCAGGAGTGATAGTTTGGCCATTTTTTTCTTGTTTTTTTTCTTGTTTTTGTTTCTTTTCTTTTTTTTCTGCTTCTTGTCTGTTATCTTCTTTTTTTTTTCTTCTGCTTCTTGTCTGTTATCTTCTTTTTTTTCTTCTGCTTCTTGTCTGTTATCTTCTTTTCTTTTCTTCTGCTTCTTGTCTGTTATCTTCTTTTTTTTTTTTCTTCTGCTTCTTGTCTGTTATCTTCTTTTTTTTTTCTTCTGCTTCTTGTCTGTTATCTTTTTTTTCTCTTCTGCTTCTTGTCTGTTATCTTCTTTTTTTTCTTCTGCTTCTTGTCTGTTATCTTTTTTTTTCTCTCTTCTGCTTCTTGTCTGTTATCTTCTTTTTTTTCTTCTGCTTCTTGTCTGTTATCTTTTTTTTTCTCTTCTGCTTCTTGTCTGTTATCTTCTTTTTTTTCTTCTGCTTCTTGTGTGTTATCTTCTTCTTTTTTCTTCTGCTTCTTGTCTGTTATCTTCTTTTTTTTTCTTCTGTTTCTTGTCTGTTATCTTCTTTTTTTCTTCTTCTTGTTCCTTTCTTGTTTTTTCTTATTATTATTCCTTTCTGGGTTTTTTTCTTCTTCTTTTCCTTTTTTTTCTTTCTTCTTTTTCTTTTTCTAGTTTACTCTTCCGTTTTTCCTCCCTTTTGTTTTGTTTTCTCTATCTCTTTCTTCCTTCCGTGCTTCTGCGAATCCAAGACCAAGGAAAAGATTCAAATGTCACACAGAACGGAAAAGGTCACAGAGAACGATAGAACAAAACACATCCACAGAACAAAAAAAGGTAACAGGGGAAGAAAAATGTCACAATGAACGAAAAATGTCACACACAAAAAAATGTCACACAACAAAAATGGCAACGGAAAGCAAAAGGTCACACATAATGGAGAAGGTCACACAGAACAAAAAAAGATCACAGAACAAAAAACCGGTCGCACAGAACAACAAAAAGGTCACATATAACGAAGAAGGTCACACTGAACGAAAACGGTCACAGAGAACAAAAATAGGTCAAAGAACAAAAAAGGTCACACAGAACAACAAAATACAGTCACACTGAACGAGAAAGATCAAACAGTCCAAAAAAAGTTCACAGAACAAAAAAAGTCACACAGAACAACAAAAAAGGTCACACTCCACGAAAAAAAATCACACTTCACGAAAGAAAATCACACTTTACAACAGTCAAAATAAAAATAGAGTCACACAGAACGCACACTCAAAAGTCCACAGCCCACAACCGCAGAGGATAGTCCAGCGTTCACCACCGTAGACGGAGAGGCAGGACAGGACTCAGCGATCCACTTGGCCACAGGTACACAGCGAAAGAGCGTGGCCTGTAACGGATAAGGGAAACGGGGTCTGTGATCTGTAGCCATTACATTATATCCGGTGTTACCTGGGGAGAGAGAGAGAGAGGGGGGGAGGAGAGGAGGAGAGAGAGGGGGGTTGGAAAGGGAGGTAGGGGAGAGAGAGAGGGGGCGGGAGGGAGGGAGGGAGAGACAGACAGACAGACAGACAGACAGATAGACAAACAGACAGACAGATAGACAGACAGACAAATAGACAGATAGAGACAGAGACAGAACGAGAGACAAAGAGAGAAAGAGAAAGAGAAAGAGAGAGAGAGAACAAAAGATGTAATCTTATGTAATAAAAGCATATCACTCGGTGGAAATTCCAGTTAGCTTATAATACATACCATCAAAAGGATCTATTGTTTCCTCAATTTTTCTTCTTATTCTTCTAATCTTGATTCAGTGATTATCAAGCCAAGAAATTAACGAAAGATATATATTTCTAAAAATCTTTTCAGCGAGACATCGGAAATTAGAAACACGCACTTGAATGAATTTAGTCCCATTCATTACAGTAAAAAAATATATATATAATACTGATATACTTAGTTACTTTTCCTGCTTATTTTCATGGAAGTTAAATGACGGTGTGGATGAAAATGTTTAAAAGAGGTGTTGACTGAAAATAAAAAAGGTGGATTAAATATGTTAATGAGGTGTGAATGAAGATTCAATGAAAATGTTTTAAAAAGAGTGAATGAAAATTTGAAGGTTGAATGTAAATGTTTGGAAAAAGGTGTGAGTGAAACTTAAAGGGTTGAATGAAAATGTCCTAATAAGATACGATTGAAAATTGAAAAGTTGAATGAAAAGTTTTACAGCGTGTAGATGATAATGAACAACTTCTCAAAATAGTTAATATATATAACTTACGGATGAACCACATAATCAGAATTCCATTTGTAAACTTCCGCAGGGGATTTTTGACATTTACTCTCACCTTCTCCTCCTCTATCTCCCCTTTCTTCTCTGTCTCCTCTCTCTCCTCCTCCTCCTCCTCATCTGTTTCCTCCCCCTCCTCCTCCTCCTTATCTGGCTCCTCCCTCTCCTCCTCCTCTACCGTCCCCTTCTCCTGCTCGTCCTTTGTCTCTTCCTCCTTCTCCTTTCCCTCCTCTTCTTTCTCCTCCTCCTCCTCTATCTCCCCTGTCTCTTCTTCCTCTGTCTCCTCCTTTCCTCCTCCCTCTCCCCCTCCTTCTCCTCCTCCTCTAATTTCTTTTCTTCTCCTTCTTTATCTCCTCCTCCTTCTCCTCCTCATCTCTCTATCTCCTCCTTCTCTTCCTTCTCATCTCTCTATCTCCTCCTTCTCTTCCTTCTCCCTCTTCCTCTTCTCCCTTTTTTCTTTAGAAGAAAATTTTATTAGATAGTTTATGGACTGACCATTATCAATTTTCTAAAAAAAAGAAAAGCCAGTTTTCGTCACGAGATCCGCTAACAGTTTGGAATAACCACATGACAAAACCACATGACAAAACTACATGACAAAACCACATGACAACATACATAAGGAGGTCGAGTCTTATGTATATCCTTTACACGTATCAGTTTGCAACAGAATACTTGGAAGTCCAAGAAATAGAACAACAAACTATGGAAATGGAACAAACTATCTTTAAAAGGGAATACTGGTATAATCAGCTGATATATATATATTTTTTATCAACATTTATACAGATGAATAAACGAGTTTTTTTTTGCAATTTTATACAATCAAGGGGAAAGTTATTATAATTTTTATGAATGAAAATGGGAAAGTTATTATAATTTTTATGAATGAAAATAAATCATGCGGTTTAAAGGAACTGCTGCTATACAGTTGTATATTTAGATAACGAAATAATCAGGATCTATTATACAAAACACAGAACACGATTATTTTGTAAAATAACATTAAACATTTATCTGACTTGTAAACAATGTGATGTTAATGACAGAACTAACAGAGTGTAAGAAAAACATATATTATCATATTTAGAAAGTTTTATATCAGC